TTATAACAAAATATAAAAATATTAGAAAGTTAAAAGTTTAGTACACAGTGAATGATTTTTTTTATTATGGAGAACATGATATATCAAATGATTTTTAAATTTAATATTGAGAACATGATATATCAAATGATTTTTAAAAAAAATATTAAAAAAATAACATATTGAATCATTTAAAATTAACTATATTTAACTTGTGAAATATGAAATCACGAAAACACTATAAAATTAAAATTAAAATAAATTAAAAATTATAATTTAAATTAATCAAACATCAAAGGTTTAAAATGAAAAAAATATTCAATAAAAAATAACTCAATCACACCTAAAATGGTGTCTTGCACTACAAAATGGCTCGGTCTAGTATTTTTAAAGAAAAAACAAAAATTCAGGACTTGGGTAGTTAATTTGTCTAGATCCAATAAATCAATTAATCTAGTAATATGATTAAAAAAAACAATAAATGATAAATAAAAAATATACATTGAGTTCCATAATAACAGAAAATAACAAAGTGACGCACTCACTAGTACGTTCAATGAACATGCCAGCAACTTTTTTATTTGTTTATTAAGAAAATTACCAAATCACCCATGAGACCACCCAATAATTTACCAAATCACCAAATCACCCATGAGACCACCCAATAATTACAAAGAAAACTAATATAAAAATACCAACATGCCCCTAAAGAAAAGCTTAAGACCTTTTAATATCAAGGGCAATAGAGTAGTTACACCGTCTATGTCAAAAGAAAATTCTAAAAAAAAATTTAAATCATATTTATTTTTGTTCCGTTTTTAAGAATAATCAAGTAATTCAATTGTATTTAAAAATTATAAAAAAACTAAAACATCTCCAAATAAATATAAAACAACAAGTGAATATGGTGAAAATGCCATCTTACCCCTGCAAGACAGCAATGAATTTTTTTTTTAAGATAAAAAAAATCCAAAATTAAATTCAAACCGCTTACTTTAATTCTCTGATATTTTTTTAGCACGAGTTTGATCTGTTCACTGGCCAAGTCTAGTTACGTTACCGCCCTGGTACGACAGATTGAGTTGACTTCTCAGCCTATTTTCCAATTAAATTCTCAGTGAAGGATCATTTTATCATTCAAACCACGTGGCCAAGTAGGGCGGTGGGCCACATCATTATTTTATATTGCTCTAGCTACCATTGAAAATGGAAACTTTTGTATTTGTTTCTGTGTTTAAGATTTTTGAATTATTATTTTTAATATTATTTTAATATATTGATATTTAAAATATTTTTTTAAAATATTTTTTAAATAAACTTTCAAATAAAATAAACTCTGCTATTATAATTCCAAAACACTATCAAAATCTTTAGACAAGAAATAGACAGCAAGATGCTTTCTATACTTGAGTTTATAAAATGAAAACTCGTGCTCGAAATATGCCATTTGTTTTTTTTTTTCTCCCCCTTTTTCATAATTTATTGAGAGGTTGGAGTCACACAATGAAACATGCTTCATTTCACATCTGAGACATCGAACAACGTTTTTTTTATTTTTTAAATCCTAGATAAAAACACATCTGAACAACGTTTTTTTTATTTTTTTATTTTTTAAATCCTAGATAAAAAAAATAATTTATGTGTTATGATTTTTTTTTCTAAAAACACAATCAAACAACAAATCAAAAAATCTTTCCCCGGCTTTGATTTTATTTCATTATCAACGGAAAGCATTTCCAAGACACAAAGATTCTAATCCAAAACCAATACCGAGACCCCAAGAACAGTCGAAGCCCAGTACAGTGATCCGATGGCTTCCTACTCCTATTAAGACACAAGTCCATAATCCTTTTCCCAACTGCAAACCATTAAACAAAATATATATATATATATATATATATATAGTTCAACAAAAACTTAAAAATGTGAAATTCAGACCAAAAAGGGCTACCATTGTTTGTTGATCGTAGTGGCTTTTTGCCAAGATACTAGCGGTGGTTCTATGCTGGCGAGGGTTGATCGGTGATAAATGAGATGGTTGTCATCCCGGGACTTGCAGTATGATTGAGCAAATGTGCTACAAGATGAAAGATAACACACTACTCGCTCCCTGGGAAACTTTTTAGAATTTATTTTTTAATTAATTATACCATAATAAAAAATATATTTTTAGAAAAAATAGCAAATAAAATTATGCTCAAATTAAAAAAAAAAATTAACCCTTGCACCATATTTATCTAGAGGATGCATTTTTAAAATTGTTTGAAAAGAAAAAACTTTGTTTACATGAATACATGCTTGAAATTTATCAAAATAATATTTTTATAATTTTAAAAAATTATTTTTGATATTAGGATATTAATAAAAACTAAAAATAAAAAAATTAATTTAAAACAAAATAAAATCTAAAAATAAAAAAAAATAATTTAAAACAAAAAAATAAAATTTTATTTTTAAAAAAATAACTTTAAAACACAAAAATAAATAAGTTCCGATACAAATATAACTTTAAAAAATAAATATAGAATGTTAGCCTATTTACATATATAATAGCTAACACACATATACACACAAACTTCTATACAATAATATCTTTGTAACTATAAAAATTTATTAGTTAATCAACATATCATTTAATAAGTCGAGACTGAATTAAAAATATTATTTAATTAAAATTATTAATTTACCAAGATTATAACACACAAATATATCTTCACAAATTATTATTAACAAACAAAATTATAAAAAAGATGTGATGTTTTTACCTTGTATCATCTTATGAAATAATATTCATTCCAATATTTTTTTTAGCTTCTCTTTTGTTTTTTAATAAAAAAAATATATTTTTCTTTATTTAATTTTATCATTTATAATTTGATTTATTAAAGATTGAGCTTTATGATTTATTGTGATTTGTTTTCTATATGGTTAATTCAGTCTTATGATATATATTGCGGGTTTGAAAGGCTAACCCATTTAGCTTAATGTTTTTTTTTTAATTAATATTTGTTCAATTTTATCATTTAATATTGAGCTTATTAAGAATTAGGATTCATGATTTGTTTTAGTTTTCTTTCTATGAGATTGTCTTGATCTCATGACTTCAGTCACGAGTTTTATGAGTTTACTTGTGTAGACTTGAGTTATTTTATTGTATCATATTTTCAGACTGATTTATTTTTAATTTTACCATTCAATAATAAATTGAATTTTGAATGAAGTTTTATAATTTGTTTTAATTTATTTTCTATAAAACTATCATAATCTCATGATTTAGGTTGCGAGTTTGACAAGTTAACTCGGGCTAACTCAGGTTATTTTTTTTGTTTACTTTATATGATGCTATCTCAATTGGCAGGTTAACCAAAATTTACTAAGATTATTTTTTTTTGTCTCTTTTTTAGTTTTTTTTTATTTCATCATTCAATTTTGAGTTGATTGAAAATTATGCTTTATAATTTGTTTCGATTTATTTTTTATGAGGTTATCGTAATTTCATAATTCGAGTTATTTTTTTTTTAAATTATTTTTCTATCAAATTTCACTACTCATAATTAGATTAATTGAGAATTAAGTTTTATAATTTATTTATATTTGCTTTATATAATATTATCACGGTCTTATAATCTAGATTACGGATTTGACAAGTGAATCTAGATTTGTTAGGATCGATCTAATATGTTGTTATCTTAATAATTTTTTAAAAAAGAATGTTTTCATGATTTTTTGTCGGTCAAACTACTTTTTACAGAAATTTAAGTTATTTTTGAACTCATCAAGTTAAATAAATCATATTTGACCAATCCCATGCTAGAAAATACTAACAACACTTATATATTCTTTTTTGTTATATTTATTTATTTTTATCTCACCCAACATAACACAGCGTGCAAGCCAACTATGTAATTTAATACTAGTGAGTAAATGCCATTTCATTTAATGAATGGAAATTAAGGACTTTAGGCAGAAAGAATAAACACTGAAATATATTTTGTTTTTTCTAGTTTAGTGAATTTATTCTCCGGAATGGAAGAATTATTCTATGAAGTCTTATACGCAAAAACGACGAAACTCGAGAATTGAAGTCATTTTCTACATTGTGAAGATTGAAAGGTGGCATTATAGTTTGGGCAAGGATGACTGCCTACTTGATTGGTTTCCCTGGACACGTCTTCATGGCCTCCTCCCCTACTTTCAAAGGGCATCTGAGAAAACATTGAACCTGCAACGTCGGTCAGATTCTCCAACTGTACGACTCACCCCCAACTCAAATTAGTTTTGAACTCTAAACCTCACACCATGACAAAAGCATCTATCTAAGTCTATTTTGAAGTGACAATCTCGACCAACTAGAACAATCCCTCTTTTTGGCCGCCATGATGACGACGCGTAGATAATTTAGAATTCATTCCCGCACCTCAAATCAAAATTAAGCTATAGATTCCTTTTTCGGCAATGCTGGGCAACAAGGCTAGCCGCATGTTTGTTAAATTTATTTATTTTTGGTATTTTAAGTTTTTTTAATGTATTAATGTTAAGAATGAATTTTAAAAAATAAAATAATATATTTTAAAATAAAAATACTTTAAAAAATAATAAATATTATAATATCAAAATTGCAACGGTTATATAGGGAGGAATTAAAAGATAAACATAATCATCCGAGGTGAGTAAGGGTCGGAGGCCTATTTATATAGACTGATGTAAATAAGAGAAAGTGTCAAGATTTCATGGTTGTTAAGTTTAAAATTTATAAAATTAGTTAAAATATCTGTAAAATAACTTAAATATTTATTTGGATAAAAAAAGGCACTTAAAATGTTAGGTTAGTGATGAGAGGAATTTGTTTATTTTCTCTGCACCTGAGTTCGAATCTTATTGTGCACGTCTATTACCCTCGTGGTGGTTTACATATGCGCACAAACTAGTTTGGACATCCATGTAAATAAAAAAAAACATAAAAAATAAATAAAGATTTCAAAGTTTGAATCTTCACTTTACATTTGTACAGATAAGTTGTTTATATATATATAATCCCAGTACAACTGATTATATAGAGATGTATTTAATTCAAACATGGTTATAACTGATTGCTTCTTTCGTGTAATTCAAACCTATGATATTTCTACTTGTGTGGAAATGGCACTTTACTTGAATGCGTGATCTTGCTTGTGCTGTCACTGGTGAAGATGAGCTTGTATGAACAAGAAGTCACTTGCTGACTAGGAGATCACAGCCGCAACCCCATTCTTATCTTGATTCTTTATGTTCTTGCTGTTGAAATTCAATCTTGTCATGGTCAGTAGGAATTTTCCGCCTAATTGGGAATCCTTGGTTTTGCAGGTGCGAGACAATTCTTCAGACTGGCTTGCACAATACGAATTTAAAAGAATCGAGCAAAGGCAAGGCACCGGGACAAGAAGTTTTATACTTTGATGAAGAATAATGTGGCGCGCGAATGCCACCACTGTTCACATTTTAAACAAAAAAGAGGAACTCCTGAAGGCCTGAAGGAAATATGCCCACCCAAAGCCCACGCCAGCTGCTAAATCAAAATCTGCCAAGTCCATGCCTCAAAAGTCTGCCAACTAGGAGGAAGGCACAAGTAGCAAAGATGAGACAATCAAGATACACTAGACAACTTTGCCTGCAATTAATGGATACTTCCATCATGAACAGTCTAGCAACTCCATTTGCGAGAGTTAAGACAAAAGAGATAATTAAGACTGACGAGACTGCTTTAACCGGTAAATATCGGCAAGCACTTTCATCACAAACAGTCCAGCAGCTCCACAACCACGCAACAAATTTTCTCTGTTGGATGCAAAGAAGAGAAGGAGAAATAGATCAGCAAACAAAAAAGAGCAGTCTGAAAGCAGTTCTGCTGCAATGGATGCGGGAAAAACTGTCAGCAGCACGTTAAGTGAAAGAAAGAGAAAATCTTGGACAACCCTGAAGGAAATTGTGGAGAAAAGAACACGATAGGAGTCGAAACATTATAAGTTTGACAAAGCCAATGTTTATTTAACAAAGGAAAATCATTTTAGCATTTTAGACTGCTGCTGATATTTTCATGGCCAATCCTTTTCAATGTGTAAACAACTCTGAAGGGGAAAAAAAGAAGAGTTTCAAACTTTATTCCAGAAAGGAGAAGGTCACGAAATGGGGACCCAGTTTTGGAAAATAACAAATGTATATACCCCACCACCTCATGCCTCTTCTACCAAAACTTGACGTTTTTAGTGTAATCCTTGCATGATTAATTTAATAACTCATAGCAATTACTCCTTAAAAAAATAATAAAAATAGCTATTGTCTGGTTTGTTTTATTGATCAGACGCGGTTTTTATCCTGGACCTATTTTGTGGAGGATTTGGAGTTTGTGCGGGGTAACAGAATTGGGGAGTGAAAATGAGGAGCAAACTCTCCTGAACTTGAAGCGGCTTCTGGGAAAATGTACATTTACAGGGAAAGGAACTGAAATGATTGATGGAATACAGAGTTCTTGTTTTGCTTCTTTCAGTTGTTTTTATTCTTTGACTGCTTCTAGGGTTTTCATGTTTGAGTAATTCCTTGTTATAGGGTGTTGTGGTCAAGTTAGGTTAGCTAATTGGACAATTTTGAAATTTAAGCTGTCAACTGTTTGTGTGTTTAAATTTGATGCGGAGATGCTTCACTTGTTTTGAGGACCTTTGTGTGGAATCATGGTTGCATTTGCTTTCTTTTTTTCCTTATTGTTCATGTCATCCTCAGGTTATATCTTTCTGTTTCTGGTTTCCTTGTCCTGCAGGAGGATCATGTGCTTCTAGCTCCTGAAACTAAAGAGCACAATCCTGGCATTGCACCTATCAAGGTAAGTAGGTAACTACTAGGAATTGCTTTATGGTGTTCTATAGGCTTTTTCATTGATCCTTTTTGTGTTCTACTAGGAATCGCTTTATGGTGTTCGATAGGCTTTTTCATTGATCCTTTTTGTGTTCTATGTCCCATCTGGTGGACACACACTCATGCTATTTTCACTTTATTCCTCACATTTGCTTTTGATGCTAAATAATCCAAGTGGTGAAGCAAAAACATGATTCTCTATTTTTATGGACAAAGATGTTATTTTAGCTGTTACCATCTGCATAAATATCGCAATTCATCTGTTGATGGCTCAAAAGTCGATCATCTTTACTGATGTCTTTATCTAATGATATGCAAATGATTGTTAACTGATCTAAATTCTTTCCCAGCCTATTCAATTGAATTAATTGAGATTGCTTTCATTTTATGCTTAGCATTAACATTTGGTTACTAGACAGAAAAGATGAGGACAGTGTAAATAGAAGGGATATGTCCCTCTTTACTTCCTGTTTTAGAAGGAAAGAAATTCACTCTAAAAATTGTTATAGAGAAAGATTTATTTTGTATCTCTGTCTCCGTCCATCCAACCAAATACGTTTCTATCTCTTCTGTGCTTGTCCCTTCTTTACCACGACACTAACCAAATACAAACTAAAAACTTACATGTCATCTCTTTCCTTCAGACCAACGGACTTGTCATTCTATTGACAGGAGATTACTCAGACCATTGATGGTATGGTGATGGTCACATCTCCCTGAAGAGGCTGATAAAAATGGTGGTGGAAGCTGGCAGATACGTGACACTAGGGAGCTATTCTCCAGGACCCATCATGTTGAGGCCCCAGCAAAATATGTAATGCTCAAGTATGTGGTGCATTTTGTCCCTGTCAACAAGCAGCTTCCAGATTGCAGAAAACATTCGTCCAGCAAGTTTATGATGCCGTACAGCAAAATCTCTGGACCAACAAGGACCATAACTAGCATTTCTGATCATCCTAATGTTCTAACAATTCTTTGGTTGCAGAGAGGGGAAAGAATAATAGATTAGGATGCAAGTAGCCGAGGGATCTAAAAGGAGTTTGCTGCAATAGTTGCTCAAAAACTTGGAACAGCAAGTAAAAGAAACAGAATCTTGGACTAGCATGAAGGAAATGATTGACATCAACGTGCACGAAGTTGTCAAAACATTATTGATTTGACTAATTCAATGTCTGCACAGGTAGGATAAGCATTCTTGTGTTTAAGATGCGAAGATCACAAGGGGTTATCTGAATCATCCGACTGAAACTTCCTTTTGTTTTGCTTTCATCTTTTTGTTATCTTTGTCTCTGCCACTTTTGCTGGCCAACTTCATTTTATGCTCCAAAATCAAGTTGTCTACACAGGTCTAACATGATCTTACAACTTTTTCCTGGCTGCGTCATGGTGCATTGTAGAGTTAAATGAATTTGGTCATGGCCTATGGACATTTAGGTAGATCGTTATCTATAAACATGAACGGTATAAATTATAACCACCGTTTCTTTTTAAATGAGCATTTTCAATCCGGTTCTGAGGGTTTTTTACCAATCCTTTTACGTGCTGCCTAAGTTTCTAATAATGCATTTGAATCAAAGAGTTTTCACTACGTTTTGCACATGAAACAGAACTCGAACGAGTCTCGCAAAGTTCACACTGATCAATGACTACATCATTAGCAAATGGAGTTGCTGAAACCGTGAAGTTCTGATATGCAAGACTAACTTCTTCAAGTCATGTTTATAGTTAGAAAAACAAGCTCCACTTAATAATTATCATAACTGGTGATGCTCCATTTACATTTCTCTATAAACAACAGACACTGGCTTTCTTGACATGGATGGACAAGAACTTCAACCCTTGACCGAGTGATGCTATCCTTTAGTCTATATATGAAACCTCTGGTACTCTTGATTCCTGTCTTTTTTTCTTTTAATTTTGAGTAGGGAGTGAGAGTCTGGGTCTATATATGAAACCTCTGGTACTATTGATTCCTGTCTTTTTTTTTTTTTTTTTAATTTTGAGTAGGGAGTGAGAGTCTGTACACAGAGAATGAAGAGAAGCATATTAGTTTAAAATACTGTCTTCTTTTAAAAATTAGACAGAAAGCATTTCATGCTTTACAAGGCTTTAGTAGTTTTATTGTTAATTCGCATCAAGTGAGCGCGTTCAAGGTTCAGATGACCTGTGGGAAAAGCAGGGTGAAGGCTTTGCAGTGTTGTGCTTTAAGTTGACATTGAATATTTCTTTCTATATTTTGCTTTTTTCTTGTACGTTGCAAGAGGAATACGAAGGGTTTTTCTTTTTGTTAAAAAAACAATTTCTCATTAAAACAATGGTTAAATTAAAAAATATCAAGATTATAAAAAAATTATTTGTTTATTAATGCTCATTCAATATGTTAATTTTAAAATTTTTTAATCCCACTCCTGTCTAATTCAGGGTTAAAATTAAACTATAAAAAAACTATTTCTAACTTAATTAATTTAAAAATAATCCACATGATTGATCAATAAATATAAAGAAAAAAATAATAAAATTAATAATTTGTAAGTCTTTATTTAACTTAAGCTTATGAGAGTTTTCTTCATAGTTTTTAAATATAACTCAGTGTAAGGCTTGTATTCCAGGTTTTGATCGGTCAGTCAAGTCAATCTCTATTTAAAAAAAAAATTTAAAATAGTATTATTTTAGAAAAGAAGTCAACAAGTTGCAACCAAGTTTTATCGGGTCATTGAGTCAACTTGCAGGTCGTTCGAGTTACATCGAGTCATAATTTTTTTTATTTTTTTTTCAACTCGACCTAATTCCAGTACAAAATAGACCAAGTCCTGAATCGACCCACTGGTCAAGTTAAATTTTAAAATTGACTCAGGGTTAAAATTAAACTATAAAAAAGCTATTTCAATATAATATGATTAACTTAATTAATTCAAAAGTAATCCACACGAGTGGTCAATAAATATAAAGAAAAAATAAAAAAATAATGAAATTAATAATTTTTTTTAATCTAAATCTTTATTTAATTTAAGCTTAAAATTAAATAATATGAGAGTTCTCATTATAGTTTTTAAATATAGCCCGGTGTAAGGCTCGTGTTTCAAATTTTGATCGGGTCAGCCAGGTCAATCCCTATTTAAAAAAAAATTCAAAATGGTATCATTTTATAAAAGAAATCAATAAGTTACAATCAAGTTTTATCAGATCATTGAGTCAACTTGCGGGTTATTTGAGTCATATCGAGTTATAATTTTTTTTTCAACCCGACCTAATTCCAATACAAAATAGACAGAGTCCCGAATCAGCCCGCTGACCAAATTAAATTTCAAAACTATGATTCTCGTATCATAATTTAGTTAATTTGATTAATTCATATACAACTCAAATAATTATTAAAAAAATATTATGATAAAAAAAAATAAAAAGGATAAATTAAAAGAAAGAACCTTCAATATTCATGTAAACTTGATAAGTTTCCCAAATTTTTTAATATAGGAAGGTAACTGCACCTTTAAAAAAAAAAAAATACTCAAAGGAAAGCACCATCACCCTTACTACAATTTTCAATTATTTCAAATTTAGCATCTAAAACTTTCTCGAATGTGTTTATTCGCACAGCGCACCTTATAAGAAACAATTCTTCGTAATAATAATAATTAAAAAAAAAAAAAACCACTTGAGAGTTCAATTCAATGGCATAGATGCAGTTTAGTTCAATTAATAAGGCCATTTCTGTATTCTATTAGTGTCCTATAAAAGGAATCCAACGGCTTCCTCCATGGTAACTTATCTTCACCACCGCTGTTGACAGTGAAGAAACCAAAACCAAAATGGGAAACCGAAGATTCGCTCAGGTCTCCACTAGCGACGAAGAAGACGAGGCGCCACCAAAGGCACGATCATCATCAACGACCATAAGGCCTGGAGACATCAGCGAGAGGAAGAGGAAGAAAATGAAGCTTCAAGAAGAAGAAGAGGAAGAAGAAGAAGTAGTGACGACAAGGAGAGGGAGAGGAAGACCCAGGAAGAAATTAAGAGAAGAGAAATCGGAGGATGAAGTAGAGGAAGAGCTCGAAGAGGATCCGGAGGAAGAGGAAGAGGTGCCGCAGGAGGATGCCAAGCCCGTTGGGGATTCGACTAGGGTTTCGGGGAAAGGGAGAGGGAGGAGAACTCATTATGATGCTTTTGAGTTTGATGGGAATAGATATGAGCTTGTGAGTTTTTTCATTTAATTTAATTCGTACAATTAGGATTCTTTTTGCTATTTAGCTACATTTTTTTTGGAGAAATATTAGGTTTTGCGCTTTAATTTTGTCAATTGATTTTGTTGTTGAATGAATCTTCGCATTCTTGAGCTGTCAGCTGTTTTATTATCCATACTTAGCCTCTAAATGCAGCAGTGGTTTTGAGGGATTTCGTGGAATCATTGTCGCTTTTACTGCTCTTTCCTAATTGTTCATATGATCATTACTGTGGATATTTGTTTGTTTCTTCTCTGATTGTTCTGCAGGAGGATCCTGTCCTTCTAGTTCCTGAAGATAAAGAGCAAAAACCTTATGTGGCAATTATCAAGGTAACTCATATTATTTTAGTTCCTTGTGTGTTCTGTGTCCTATTTGCTGGATATGCATCTCATGTTTATATACTCTAATTTGAATTTCATAAGGTTTTCCTCCTTCACTTTTTATTTGGTATTGTCTCTTTGACGGTGGATGATGTGGCGGTGAAGTGAAAAATTGATTTTTCTGTTCACCTTGATAATCAGATTCTTTTGTGGTTAATGCCGTGCAAATTTCTTGGAGTTTCTGTGCAGGTTTTGTTCTGGTTTGAAATTAATCATCTTCAGTAATGTTTGATTCTAACGATGGACAGCCCTTAACCAAATAATGGGTGATGGGTTTAAATGAATGATATATTAAAATATTTCCTAACATGAAACGGTGGTAAATTATGAATCTCAATTAACTTGGGAATTAGGTGCAGTCATTTTTCAAATGGGAATAAATTTACATTCAAGATTATGAGAAGACCCCCCACCACTAGTAGGAAAAGGGATGGGGGTTGCATACCTCTGCAATTTAATCATTTAGATTCAATTTTTTTTTCCCTCATCTGGGGATGCAACTAAACTTCTCTTCACACTGAGTGAAAATTTCATTTTGTAACCATGTTCTTGCATTTTATTATGTCATAGGTCTCTCTAGTAAAAGTTTCTAAGCACACACTGCTGGGCCAATTTTATGCTTTGTTATCAGTAATCATAATTAATACTCAACAAGTAAATTTGTTTAGATTGTTTTTGCTTTCATTTTGTATTTATTATGTAAGATTTCTGTCATCACATTAATGGAACTGTTATTCTGTTGATAGGATATTTCTCAGACTAAGGATGGCAGCATGATGGTCACTGGGCAGTGGTTTTATCGCCCCGAGGAAGCTGAGAGAAAAGGTGGTGGAAGTTGGCAGTCACGTGATACTAGAGAGCTCTTTTATAGTTTTCATCGTGATGAGGTTCCAGCAGAGTCTGTCATGCACAAGTGTGTTGTGCATTTTGTCCCAATTCACAAACAGCTGCCAAATCGCAAACAATATCCTGGTTTTATTGTCCAGAAAGTGTATGACACTGTGGAGAGGAAGCTTTGGAAGCTAACTGATAAGGATTATGAAGATAACAAGCAGCATGAAATTGATCTTCTTGTTCAGAAAACTCTATCACGGATGGGAGACCTTCCTGACATTGAAGTTGAAGATGCTCCTGCTGCTCCTCCTGAACTGGAAGATCCAACAAAGGCAAAAAGAACTCTAAGGAGAAAGACTGTTTCACCTCTTGATGTGACAAGGGAGGAAGAAGCAACTACCAGATCTGATAATTTTAAAGCTGAAACACCAGGAAGCTGTACAGGCAATGGCTCAGAGTATTATGCCATCTTAGTAAAGTTTGATGCATTGACTGGTGATACCCATCGAGACAAATGGCTGGAGCGGCTTCTTCAGTGTATTCAGTATATGTGCATTTCCTCTAACAGCACCCCTGATGATGATAAGCTAAAAGGTGGTTCTGATGGTGTTGACCATAAAAAAGAGCAGAAGTCCCAGGGAGCTGCAAATGGATCTGAAGAAAATAGTGTGAAGGTGTATAATTTGTTGTGTACTTAGCTTTGGCATGTGATATAGTGAATTCCATTTTTGGTATCTTGATTAGGAGCAGATTAGGGATGGAAATTTGACAATTTTGAAGACTTTACAACTCCAGCA